CCCCAAAACCCCAAAACCCCAAAACCCCATTTATACAAAATAATCTATTTTATTGGATATTGTAGAAAATCTACTTTAAGTTAATGTAAAAATGTATTACATTTTAATTAAAATGAAATACTTTGCTAAAATTTTTGTACTAGGCTATCTTGCACACTTTATTAAGTCTGCTTCATACAGATGCCCTGTAATATCTTGCGAAAATAATCTATATAAAAACCGATGCATGGAATTAGATTATGAATTTCCTCAGAATCAAACAATAAGATTTGGGAAGTGCAAGAATAATAAGGTTTGCAATTTTAGAAGTGATACAAATTCACTTTGGCCTGTTAAGCCTAATCAAATGAATTCAATGACTGATATATCTGGAGGCTAGTTATGGACATATTGCATAGATCCTAATAGTTGGGAGGTTGGTAATCTAATGCCAGGAAGATCATGCTCTGCTGATTACCAGTGCTATTCAAATCTTTGCATTAATTATAAATGCAAGGGGTTAGAATACCCAGCAGCTTGTCGAGATAGTAAGGACTGTGAAGTTGGGTATAAATGTGCTATTGATTACTCATATAGGCCTGACAAAATCATTAAGAATGTCTGTGTAAAAGTTTAAATTGAGGGATAAAATTGTACTGCTGATTTAGATTGTCAAGTTCAATTAGTTTGTGCATAAAATAGCACTAAAGCTAATTCTAAATCATGCCAAAGACCATATAGTAAAGGAATAGGGGATACTTCTTTTGATGGAAGACTTTGCTAAACAGGAGCAATAAATTCCAAATCTTAATGCGAACTTACAACCTAGATAAAATACAATAAGAAAGCACTTTCCTCTCCATTTAAATGTAGCCCTGATGATAGTATGAAATGCGAGAAATATGATAGCTCAGGAAATCTACTAACATATTAGGGAGATTAATTAATTCCTAACTATAACGGACTTATTGATTATTGCTAATGCACTAACTATTCTGCCTACACAAATGAGAGCTCAGCATACTGTATTCCTTATGGTAACTCTGATTGGCAATCACTCTGGAAATTTTATGCTTTAAGAATACTCCCCTTTATTGAAAGTTGCCACATTTTAGATAGAAATAACCCTTTAGCTTGGCTTGACTCTGGGAGAGCGATACAAGAGGAAGAAATTACTTTATTTGTCAACAAATATACACAGCTATCATATCATCATTTCTAATAGAATAGTTCATCTATTCTATGTCCTGAAGCTATTTCTCCATTCAGCAGTTTTAATTGGAATAAGTTACTGAATGGAGTCACTTAAGTGTCTTCATATTCAAATGCAAAAAATATTGAAATATGTCTAAAATTTGCTCTTGGAATACTTTTATTAGTCACTATTAATTTATGAAAGAACTAAATTTTTATCTATCCTTTAAAGAATTCAATCTCTAGGGGTTTTGGGGTTTTGGGGTTTTGGGG